CTATTTATTTTTTGATAACATTGCTGCCACCACCCCAACATCATAATTATAATAAGCCCAGCAAAATCATGTATTTCGAGAAAGTGCAAATGGCCTGTAATTTTTTAGAAAAAAGATAAATGGGCCGCATGGACGCTACATTATTTGTTCACCCAGCCCAGCTAATGGACTGTAATTAAAAAAAAAGATCAAATGGACTGTAAATTCTACCCCGTAAAAATACTGTAAATTCTAAAAAAATGATTGAATACGTGCCATATTTTTGGAGGCTGTAATGTGGGCTAATAGGTCGAAGCCAATGTAACTCGTTCTCAACTTACTCAACAAATGATTCTGACATCGTTAGCCGTTGGATTTACATCTAACGACCGATATCCATCTTCAATCTCTCGTCTTCTTCCTCCAGCGCCGTCGGGACTATCGGCTCTCGCCTCCTGCTGCTAGCAGCTCTGTTTAGCACACTTCGCTGTGAAGCGCTACTCCATCGTTGGTCAGGCCATCCCTCCACCTCTCCACACCTCCTGTTCTTCTCCACCGACTGCCGAATCACACCACACCAGAACCAGTTAACCCTCGTACACCTCTTCATCTACGACTCTACTCCCGCGTCTTCCATCTCCGGTTCCTTGCTGTCCGGAGCCTTGCCGTCGTCCACCACCTTGGATGCGCTCGGCGCGGAGTGGTAAATGTTGTCAACGAACGACACTATCGGAAGTAGACTGTGCGTGGATAGGCTAACAGCTGGGTCCACGGCCGCACGCAAGAAAATGCCTCCTTATTACGCACAAAATAATGATTCCTCCATCTGACAGCTGGGACCCATCGGAAGGGCCACTGTATTTCGTGAAAAACGTTCCCACCGCTGACAGGTCGGATCCACCAGCTATATCTTCACATGCAAGGAAGTGCCTTCTTATTACACATAAAAAATGAATACCCCCTTGCTAGCTGGGACCCACAATAGTGGGAGGCTGACTTGTCGGCCAACTAAGTTGACGGGGACGGAGGGCTTTGTCAACTTAGTCAATATGAATGATTCTAGCTCTAGTGACCGTACGAAGTCCATCCAACGGTCGTAGTGTTTCTTCAACCTCTGGTCTTCTTGCTCCAGCCGCCCAAAGCAGCGCCGGTCGTGCCTCGTGCTCCTGCCTCTCGTGGCTGGCTGCGATGCCGTGAAGGCCTCACCGCCCCCTACTACTCCCACCGCTGGCCAGTACATCCCTCTACTCACCCATATCCCCGTTATTCTACGGTGACGGTAGCCTCACACCGCAGCGAACCGGCGAACCCTCATACTCCTCTACGCGTGGGCATCCACTGCCGCCTTCCCCAGCTCCACGTCGTCCCCTTCCTAAGCCTCACCGTCATCAACCGCCCTGATGCTCTCGGCGCGGCGTGGTCAACTTGGTCAAGGAACGACTTCCATCATAAGAGTAATTGTACGTGGAGAGGCTGACAGTTGGGTCCACGGCAGCTGCAAGAAAGTGCCTCCTTATTACACGGAAAATAATTATTTCTCCACCTGACAGCAGGGACCCACCAGACGGGCCGCCGTATTTGGTAAAAAAACGTTTCCCCCCTGACTGCTAGGACCCATTGGACGGGCCACCGTATTTCGCAAAAAAATGTTCCCCCCGCTGTCAGCTCGGACCCACCGGAAGTGCCTCCTTATTACGCACAAAAAATGAATACTCCCCTGCTAGTTGGGACCCACCTTGGTGGGTGGCTGACTTGTGGGCCTACTAAGTTGACGGGGACGGAGTGCTTTGTCAACTTAGTCAATATGAACGATTCTAGCTTCAGTGACCGTACGATGTCCATCCAACGGCCGTAGTGCTTCTTCAACCTCTGGTCTTCTTGCTCCAGCCGCCCAGAGCAGCGCCAGTTGTGCCGCATGCTCCTGCCACCCGTGGTCGGCTGTGCTGTCGTGGAAGCCTCACCGCCTCCTACTATTCCCACCACTGGCCAGGCCCTGCGGCGACGACAGCCTCACACCGCAGCCGAACCAGTGAACCCTCGTACTCTTCTCTGCGCGGGCTTCCACTGCCGCGTCTTCTCCGCCTCCGCGTCGTCCCCTTCCTAGGCCTCGCTGTCGTCCAATTGTCCTGATGCTCTCGACGCGGCGTGGTCAACGTGGTCAAGGAACGACTTTCATCGGACCTGGACTATACGTGGAGAGGCTGACAGCTGGGTCCATGGCCGCAGCAAGGAAGTGCCTCCTTATTACGCGCAAAATAATTATTCCTCCACCTGACAGCGGGGACCCACCGGACGGCCCATCATATTTCGCAAAAAAAAAACATTTCCCCCTGACTGCTGGGACCCACCATCTACATCTTCGCACGCAAGGAAGTGCGTCCGGGCAAAAAAACGATTCGCCCCCTGACTGCTGGGACCCACCAACTACATCTTCGCATGCAAGGAAGTGCCTGACAGTCGGGACCCACCTGGTCGAAGCGTACGTAGCGTTGTCATTCTGGTCGCGAACGTGTACGTACATACTGGTCGATGTAGAGGCGCGCACGTGTCGTAGTAGAGGCGCGCACGTAGCATGCACACGTACGTACATCGGCCAGTGTGCAAGAAAGAAAATACGGCCACGTACATACATACAGGCAGGGTCTCGAACGCCTACTCGCGCATACGTACGGCCAGGGCTCGTGTTTATGGGGAGCCAACCGGCTGGGTCGGAACGGAATGCGTCGTCGTGTTCATCGGGAGGGCTTGGACGGAACAGCCGATGGAAACGAGGCCTGGCATACCGCAGAACGGAGGAAACGGCCTTGTGTTCGACCGGCCACGTTCGAAACGGGACCCGGTTCATCGGGAGGGGTCTGGCGTACCGTAAAACGGAGGAAACGGACCTCCTACGGTCGAAACAGGGATCCTGTTGATCGGGAGGGGTGTGACATACCGCAAAACGGAGGAAACAGACTTGTGTTGGAGCGCTACGGTCGAAACGGGGTCCTTTTCATCAGGAGGGGTGTGGCGTGCCGCAAAACGGGACTCCATGGGATACTGTTCATCTCCACTGTCGACCCCCTCTAGCCTCCGCGGGCAACTGTTCATCCACCATCGACCTCCTCCAGCCTCCACCTGCGACTGTTCATCCACTGGCTCCTGTTCATCCAGTCTCTACCGCGCGCTAGTCCACCGACTACTGTTCAACCAGCCCTCTCCACGGGCTCCTGTTCATCCAGCCCTCCATGGGCTACTGTTCATCCAGCCCTCCACCGTCTACTGTTCATCCAGCCCTCCACGGGGTGGTCCTGTTCATCCTGCCCTCCATGGGGTCTTGTTCATCCAGCCCCAACCGGCTCGATCGATCGGGGTCCTGTTCATCCAGACGCAACACCACGTGGTCCTGTTCATCCACCCCCACCGGGCAATGTTCATCCAAACCCCCCAGCAACGCTCACTATTCATCCAGAGGCAGCATCGATCAGCTTCAGTTAGCAGCAGTAGCGAAGGAATCACTCGATCGGGTTCAGTTAACACCCATTGATCGATCGCTCGGGTTCAGTAACGCGTAGCCTACAGTGCAATCGCTCGAGTTCAGTTAGAGCCCAACGCCTCGAACCCACGCGCGTGCGTGTACGAGAGAAACGCGAATCGCTCTGCCCCGATCACCCATCGTAACCGGGAACACCCCGATAATTTCCTCGCCCTCACTTCTACCACGGTTTTTTCCGTCATGAACGGCCCAAAGAATGTCATGCAGCCGCGTCTCCGATCCGCCCAGGACGAAAAGCTCATTTTCTGTCATGATTTTTTTGTCATAAAAGTAGGACCCCAGCACATCTATGATCATACCGCGTTTTGTCACAATTATTGTCATAGAAGTGTCATAAGTATGACAGAAAAAAATTGCGTTCGGTCCAAAATGTTACAGATGTGTCTTTTTTTTTGTAGTGCATGAGATATGATCATACGTTCCAGGAACCTCGAAGGATGACGCAATGCACACGCAAAAGAAGGATGGGATGGTGCACACGGCTGCAATATGTGACTTGTACCTGTGTGCCGGTTTAAATGTTTTTGTGCATGCAACTTGTCAAAAACTATGTGCATGTTTTCTTGATGTGCTAAAAGTTTACATTTGGAGGGAATCTGAGTGTTTGTGAAAAAATAAATAAATTATGAAGTTGAAGATATGACGACTCTGAGTTCGCGTGCTACTTATGTAGCCTCCAAATGCAAATGGAGCATGCTTCGTACGCATTGTGGCTATTGCACGGGGACTTTGCTAGAGTTGCTCTAAGAGACACTACTAGCCGTTAAATTGTCTGAAGTTAGAAAACAGACATGCTCATTCACGACAGAAATCAAGGACCTGAACATTTCTATACTCTTTCAAACCATACTCACCAACCAAATATTGCTGCTTCTATGTACAAAGTGTGCTACTTCAATCAGCAGCGACATAATAAGAACAGTTTGATCAGGCGAGCTTGGTCGAAGGTAGTAGGCAGGAAGGAAACTAAAGATGAGAGGTAACCGAAAGAAATCGAAGACCGAAAGTATTCGAGATCATCCGTTCTAAGTGCAGATCTGGAGATGGAAGAAGAAGGCTTTGTAGTTCAGGTGGTGGCCACCCAGAAGGCGGCAGCCTGCTCCTGCTCCCATTTGATGCTGCACCTCGCCGCCGTGGCGCCACTCTCCACCTTCAGGCACCGCTCGCGACGCACGTACTTGGGGACCACGCACGCCTGCTGCTGCTGCTGCTGCTGCTGATCGACCTCCTCTGCCTCATCTTCCTCTGCTTCTTGCGCTTCTTGTTGGCTGCTGCACGCGGCGGCGGCATTGCAGCCGGCGCAGGGCAGGAGGCGGAGCCGAAGACGCCCGCCGCTCCGCTCGGCCTCCATTCCGGAGGTCCGCACGGCGTACACCTCCAGCCGCCCGCCGCGCCGCTCGTGGACCATGCGCATGCGGGTCGCGCCAGCCGCCAGCGTCGTCAGCGGCGGCGGCAGCACACGCGCCCTCGGCTCCGTCGGCTCCACCTTGGTCTCCTCCTCTCTGTATTTCCTCTTCCGCTCCACGCCCTCGTCGGCGTCGTCAGCGGCTGGGTCGACGCCACCGGTCTCGCACCCGAGCGCCTCGGTGCACATCTCCAGGTTCCGCGTCATGCCGTACCGGTACGCCGGCATCTTCCTGGGAGCGAACGGTAGCGCCACCGACACACGCCGAGGCTTCCCGGGTTCCTGAACGGCGAACAGAGAGCCCCAAGGGCCGGCGGCAGGGAGCTGCGGCGGCGAGTCGAGCAGCGAGTTAGGCATGGCGAAATGGAGAGAGACACGGTGGGGGTGACGGTTGGTGTAATTGGAGCGAGGTAGGCTGATGCCGGCCGGAGAGAGACGCCACAAGAAGGAAGTGGAGTTGGAGGATTTGCAGTGGGACGCAGCTGCAGGTGCTGGCTGTGTGTGTTGTGGGGAAGAAGAGGGCCGGTGCCACTGGTTTATATAGGGCAGAGGCCGGGAAAGAAGGTAGTTGCCGGTTGGAACATATTCCGCTGATGGTAATGGGCATATACATGGCTCTCCGACTCCGATTCCACTCTCATCGCAATACATGGAAGAAAACAAAAGAAGGGATGGATGGAGTGGAGTAGTGGCTGCTGCTGCGTGCCACTCTGGCCTGTGAGGGCAGGTCGCCCTCACCGTGCTTTGCAATTAGGCTGACGATCGATGCTTTGTCTGTGTGGTTAAGGGGCATGCGTAATGCTTGATTAGACAATTTTAGCTTAATCCTACTACGTAGTTTAGAGATGGCAATAGAAATATTCTTCGCTAATTGTTGTTTAAACCTAATCCAAATTAGCACTATCACAAGATTATGGACATGGCAAATCGCATATGACAGGTCAGGAACATCTAGCACACATGTATATGGACCAATGACACATGTCAGAAGAGAGAGTTTATGACAGACGAGGACACCAAAACCTCCAGCGCAACAACATCTTCAGCCATGGTTGTCGTCCCACATAGAGCAAAGTAGCCAAAGCAGGCCGACAAACGTCGAGGCTGTAGTCGAAGTTGAGTGAGCAGTCGCGCCGAGATGCTCCATAAAAACTATGTCGCCCCTCATCTGGTCACTAGTGCAGAATGATGCTAGGAACACGCGCCAATCACAACCCCATGTCCCCGACATTGAACTATGTGCAATGCAGGCATTGCATATGTCCGAAAAATAAAACCGTGTGCCAGGAAATGAAACATGTGCAATGGTTGATCTAATGGGCATGATTTTGGAAAGGGAACCGTGTGTAATGAAGGGCACACCACTTGGCTGGCAGATGCCTGTGCGGCAAGTCATGATAACAAACACGATTGTACTGCTTGAATCGTGTGTGTTGCGTGTCAATGTTTGAAATAAATGAATTATGTGCGATGATGGAGAGCATGACACATGTTACATAATTTATTAACGCGTGTGAAGTTCCACACATGGTTTCCTAAAGGCAACTCGTGTGAGATAACTTGTGACAACGCATACGATTGTGTGGTGAGAATTGTGTGTTTTGCTAGGCACAACGATTGAAATAAAGGAACCGTGTGAGATATTGTGAACCATCACACACGGTTTCGTCATGTGGATCATGTGAGATGTGAGTTGCTCTGTGCAGAACAACAACATTGCTCTATTTGCAGAACAACATACTTAAAACATCATTGCACAACTCGTTGTATAATCAAACTAAACACCCATTACATAAGTAACTAAACATCATGTTTCATATCTCGTTGCATAATTATTTAAAGTAGGGGACATTAAACTACGGATATTGAGATACTCATCCTCGTTGCCAGATGAGCACTTGTAGAAATACTGGTAGTCAGAGATTTTCATTGTCGGTGCTTCCTCGAGCTCGATGGCCTTTGCGTTGAAATAATTCCTAGCCCGCTGCAAGATAACCTCTTGGAAGGAGGGATCGGCTTTCTTTTGGGCATACACCATATCTTTAATGTTTTCATACGCCCTTTGATTGGACTCCTCCTGCCGCATAGTGGTAGCAAGCGTGGCGATGGCGGCATCCACGACATCATCCACATGCGGGCCGCGGAAACGACATCATCCGCTTGCTTGGCCGCGACAACTACTACCTCTTTTGCACAGGCCGCCACAACCGCAACCCGTTGGTGTGTGTGACAGTGGCTATGACATCAACCGCGGCAACGGCCTCATCCACGTGTGCGGGCGCGATTTGACTTTTAGAGGCCATGGTTCATTTGGAGAACAATGGAGGCGGGCGAGGAGGTGGATTTGGAGGCGGCAAGAAGGAAAAAGGGGGCACACAATTGCAGTGTAGGTGGGTGTGAAGGGATATTTATTTTGACTGCGGGTGTCAATTGCACAAAGATTTTGTAAAATACTTAGTGATAAAGCAAACAAGCACACACGAGAATATCAACCCCATGCTATTGCTCCCCGGCAACGACGCCAGAAAAAGATCTTGATAACCCACAAGTATAGGGGATCAATTGTAGTTTTTCTCGATAAGTAAGAGTGTCGAACCTAACAAGAAGCTAAAGGTAGAATTAATATTCTCTCCAAGTTCTATCGACCATCGATGCAAGTCTACGCACACTTAACATTTGCTTTACGCAAAACAAAAATAAAACTAGAAGTACTTTGTAGGTGCAAAGGGATAGGTTTGCAAGATAATAAAGAACGTGAAAAATAAAAGTTAGGTGTTGTTTTAATAAAGTACAATTAAGTTAGTATAGCAAGTGTGAAAAAGTGATGGTAGGATTTACCGATTTGTCCCTAAGCAATTGGCTAAGTTACTACACCGATAGCATTTTTATGCGGGAGACGCCACTACTAGCATGTGATCCCTTACTTGGAATTCTATGCACTTTTGATTGAAACTATTAGCAAGCATCCGCAACTAGAAAAGTGCATTAAGATAAAACCCAACCATAGGATTACGATATATTGCCCCCTCCCCCTCCAATCCCGCAGGAATCAATTTCTATGGTAGGAAGAAGTTTCTGTCACTCTTGCCCTCCAATGCATAGCCCTATGGTGTGATCCACACACGCGCTCATATGATGGACATCAAAGGACAGCAACATAACTACAAGCAAATTAAACCAATCATAGCAATTCACCAATTACCCATAGGACAACAAAAATCTACTCAAACATCATAGTATGACAACACATCATTGGATAATAATATGAAGCATAAACCATCATGTTCAAGTAGGGGGTATAGCGGGTTGCGGGAAGTGGACCACTGAATATAGATGAGGGAAGGGAATGGAGGTGTTGATGAAGATGACGGAGGTGTTGGAGTAGATCGTCGGCACACGATGACTGTCCCGGCGGTGTTCCGGCGCAACCAGGAGAGAGGGGGAGAGAGCCCCCCTCTTCTTCTTCCTTGCCCCCCAAGATGGGAGGAGAGTTTCCCCTCTGGTTCATGGCCGCCATGGCTCCCAGAGGACAGGAGCCCCTCCGATATTGGATGGATCTCTCTCTCTCTCTCTCTCTCTCTCTCTCTCTCTGTTTCCCTTCTGTTTTTGGACCCCTTCACCATTTTTTATATTCCTGGATATGGGCTGAAATTTTGAGGAGATTTTAATCCAGAAATTATCTTTCTTACGGCGAAAGAAGGGCATCAACTGACTTACAAGGGAGTCACAAGGTAGTATGGCGCGGCCACCCCCCTGATCGTGCCCTGGTGCCTTGTGACCACCTCGGGCACCGTCTTGCGTTGATTCTTCTTCCCAAAAATCACATATATTTCAAAATAAATCCCCGTAAATATTTATCGCATTTGGACTTCGTTTGATATGGATGTTATGCGAAACAAAAACATGCAACAAACAGGAACTGACACTAGGCACTGGATCAATATGTTAGTCCCAAAAATAATATAAAATGTTGCCAAAAGTATATGAGAGTTGTAGAATATTGTCATAAAACAATAAAAAATTATAGGTATGACGGAGACGTATTAGTGTTGAGGAAGACGATGGAGTTGTTGGAGTAGATCGTCGCCAAGATGGTTCCTCGACGGCCGCTCCGACCCCACTGGAAGAGAGGGAGAGAGAGACCCTCTCCTTCTTGTTCTTACTTGGCCTCCCCCTGAGATGGGAGGAGGGTTTCCCCTCTGGTCCTTTGCCGCCATGGCTACCGACGACAGGAGCCACTCCGAGATTGGCTCTCTCTGATTTGAGTTCCTGTTTTCTCGCCCTTCACCGTTTCTTATATTCCCAGAGATTCGTAACTTTGATTGGGCTGAAATTTTAACATGGTTTTTATCCTAAAATTATCTTTCTTGCAGAGAAAGAAGGGCCCCAATTGACTTACAAGGTGGCCACGAGCTTGCTTGTTGCGTCCCAGGGTAGGGGGCGCGCCGTGTGAGCTTGTGGGCCCCTTGAGCATTATCTTGCGTTGATTTTTTTCTCAAAAATCACACATATTCCAAAAAAATCCCATAAAATTCTATCGCATTTGGACTTTGTTTGATATGGATTTTTTGTAAAACAAAAAACATGCAACAAACAAGAACTGACATTGGACACTGGATCAATATCTTAGTCCAATAAAATGATATAAATTGTTGCTAAAAGTATAGGAAAGTAGTAAAATATTGGCATGAAAAAATAAAAATTATAGACATGATGAAGACGTAGCACGGCGGTAAAGAGGTGATGGTAATATCCTCCCTTCCTTTCCTGATCAATTCATAGGGAAATAATGGAGAATGGACCATTGGTCGCGTCCACGAGGTAACACTTAATCATCGTTTGTCATAATCTCTTGTGTGGAGGAATAATTTTGGCGCGTGTGACATGCAGCCAGGCAAGTGGAACGTATGTTGTACATCCTCCACCCACTTATAAAAATATGCAAGATGGCTTAGTTATCTGAACGCAGAGTTTTCCTTGTGCATATCTTACATTACACATAGTACTGGGGAGTCCAGACTCCTTGAGAACGCCTCAGCCCTATTGATTTCATTACTTCCATTTATTCTCTCATGCTATTTTATTGTACTTCCATACCTTGTTTTCAATCACTAACCACTCACAACATTTGTCGGGGGGATGAGCCCCGGGCAGACAACGGAACCCGGATCCTTCTAAAAAATATTGGGACCGGCATCTCCTCTCAATCCGGCTCACGCTTGGCTGGGTTCCTCAACCCGCCCAAGGCCCTCAACCCGGCCAAGACCGCAACGCGGCCAGGCCGGCTGGCGCATGCCGGCCGAACCTAGCAAACCAAGACTTCTCCAGCAAGCCAGATCCCTCGTGGCGTCTTCCTCAACCCGGCCACGGGTCAGCTCCCGTCCCATCCAAGGCGTACGACGGAACAAGTCCCCATAGAGGGGATGAGTGTGACCACAGTGACCCACCAACTCCTCTGATTGGCAGGGGCGTGGCGACAGTGATCCACCTACTCCGCTGACCGGGGCTGGCGTGGCAATAGTGCGCCCATCGTCCTGCTGGCGCAAGCCGACGGTGACCAGGGGGTGCGCCACTGTAGCCGAGCCGGCCCAACCATTCCGTGACGACCGACAAGACGGAGAACAGTGCCCCCTAGCACGCGGGGTCCGTGC